AGTGTTGATCTTTCTTTCTATCCTTCTGTATATGTATTTAAAAGTATAGAAACATGTATATATCATGCATATATCAAATGTATGTTATTCATATATATATTTATATAGTATTTCTTTTCTTATTTCTGAACATTTTGAGAGTAAATTGCAGATATATTGCTCCTTTGCCCCAAAATATTTCAGTATATATTTCCTAAAAACAAGAAATTATCTTATGTTTGCCTTTTAAAATGATCATTTTGGCTTCTACGTGGAAGACAGTTTGCAGAGAGAGAGAGACTGTAGACACAGGGATGGGCAAGGGATCTTTTCAGCAACGAAAGCAGGAGCTGGGGAAGCCAGGACAGCATAGGGCAGCGACCTAGAGATGGGCTAATGGGACTTGGCAAGCGGATGTAGCTGGCGGTAGTTCCCAGTGGCTGTCGGGGCTGCTGGGTGGATGGTAGGTGTGGGCTGTTCACTGAGGTGGACAGTGAGAGCAAAGGGGAGGGATGACAAGTTCAGTCCTGACATGTTGAAATCAATAGGCCTTTGAAAGGTCTAGATGTGAAGGTTATTAAAATAAATGTATTCAGTTTTTAGTTGACCAATAATTACATATATTTATTAATGTGTGGGGTATAATATATGTTTACATAGATCAAAACATCACATTGTACCCTAGACAGAGATATCGGGCAGCAACTGGATATATAGTGCATCTGAAGGACAAGGTAACGACCCAGCCTAGGGAAAATTTGCAGGTCCTTCTTGGAAAGGTGGTTGTTGAAGCCATGGGCATGAGCGAGATCTGCCGGGAGAGCAGGAGCTTCCTGAAGGCAGATCTGCAGAATTTCAGTCTTTCAGGGACTTCATTCCACAGCCTGAGGCCATACAGGATGAGGTTGAGCTGTGGTCTGCTGGGGTATTGAAGTACCCCAGGACTCCTGTATCATGATGATCAAGTCACTGGGTCTGGGCATGGTAAAGCCAGGTGGCTGCAGGGGCCTGGGAGATGAACTCCTCCTGTCTCACAACTAGGGGCTCCCTAGGAGCTGGTAAGAGAATGAGTGGTGTAAAAAAGTTAATATCCCAGGATTTGAGAGGCTGGGCAAAGGCAGCAGGGGCATGAGCCAGACGGAGCTCTGTCTCAGTGAAGTCACTGTGCAGGCCACAGCACGTCTGCCCAGGTGAGAGGGATGGACCAGAGCATCACGCTGTGTCCTGGAGAATTGGGGAGATGTCGGGAGGGATGGGGCGTGGCTGCTGTGGCAAGCCTGGTCCCGCCACCTCTATAAAGGCCTCGCTTTGAGGAGAGGGGAAGCTAGAGAGGGGAGGAGAATTTCCAGCTGAGATTTTTTTTTTTTTTTTTTTTTTTTTGAGATGGAGTTTCGCTCTTGTTACCCAGGCTGGAGTGCAGTGGCGCCATCTCGGCTCACTGCAACCTCCGTCTCCTGGGTTCAGGCAATTCTCCTGCCTCAGCCTCCTGAGTAGCTGGGATTACAGGCACGCGTCACCATGCCCAGCTAATTTTTTGTATTTTTAGTAGAGACGGGGTTTCACCATGTTGACCAGGATGATCTTGATCTCTTGTCCTCGTGATCCACCCGCCTCGGCCTCCCAAAGTGCTGGGATTACAGGCTTGAGCCACCGCGCCCGGCCCAGCTGAGATTTTAATGTCACCTAAAGTCCTCATTTGTTTTGTTTGTTTTGGGGCTTGAACTACAGGCACCTGATCCAGCAAGTCATGTCTCTTTTCCACATTTGTTAGTGATTAGGCTTGAGAGACCACATTAGTGGTTCTTAGTGTTTGAGTTTTACTAAACCTAAATTTGAGAAAATAGTCAGTAAAGAAGAACAGCTCTTCACTTTGCCAAGTAAGGGTAAAGGCCCCTTATGGCTGGCATCACTTTGTAAAATAAACATAGTTTTAACACTAGTAACTGTAAAAAGAATACAGCCTCAAAAAAATAAACAACCTTCCAAAGAAATAGCAGTCACTCATCTTATACCAACTGCTATAAAATAACTGCATGCGGGCCTTTGCCCCCATAAATATTTGGGGCCAGAGTATAGGAAAGACCCCTGTGTTTATATATAAAGGTGCATGCATGTGTGTGCATGTGTGTGTGAGAGACAGGACTGGAGAAAGACAGTAATGCTAATGAAGGTCAGTGATGGACACCACTCCGGAACCTAGAATGAATATTTGGATTTATTGGTGGCTTCTAGATTACACATTCATTTTCTGTCCTCTGGTGGCAGACGCGGTTCTGTGTTATGCATTCTTGAGGTACCTGACTCCACCACACACACACACACACACACACACACACACACACAAAAACCTGTCCTAGGTGGTTGGGGCACCTGCAAAAAATAATTAACAGGATTTAACACCCCAAGCCCGAGAAATTAGCTGATGTTCACACTTTCTCCAGCCATACAGGCGTCATTCCAGTGACATGTGCGTTTGATTTTTTTGTCTAATACAAACCTAACAGTTGAAAGTTATCTGTAAGAGTTGTAAGTAAGAAGCTAAGAGGATGCGACACAGTTTTAGTGCCCCTTCTCATCTACAAAGGCCTGATTTACAAGGACAGACTCGCCAAACCAGGCTTCCCTCTGTCCTGTTGCCTTGGAAACAGCAAGGGCCTGGCCATCCTCACTTCCCCCTGTGTCCCCAGCGTGGACATAGTGCCTGGTACATGGAACCATCGCATCTTGATGAGTAAGTGGTTAGCCCAGGATAACCACTCCACATCGTCTTTCTTCTCTGCTATTAGGGACCTGGGCTGAAATCCCTTTCTCAGGCTCTCTGAGGTTGCTTCTGTCTGGGTAAAACAGCTTGAAGGGATTCTCCTCCTGGGAAGGCCTGAATGCCTCTGGCCGCCTCTTAGTTACTAGCTCATGCACAGCCTGTGATCCTAGAGAGTCAGGACCACGGTTTAAGGGAGAGACCATTGGTTTCCAAACCCGTGTCTCCTAGTGTTGCAGAGTGACTTCCTGAGGTCTGGGGATGTTCTAAGGCTTTTATTAAATAGTATAAACATGGCTTAATTCCAAGGTTGAGATTTAGAATGTGCCATCCTCAGGACTAGCTTGCCTATTTCCATTTCTCTCACTCAAAGTCTTTTTTAGAAAAGCAAAAATTACATTTGTATGGTATAAAACATGATTTTTGTTTGCTTTTTTTGAGACGGAGTCTTACTCTGTCATCCAGGCTGGAGTGCAGTGGTGCATTCTCGGCTCACTGCAACCTCCAACTCCCTGGTTCAAGTGATTCTCCTGCCTCAGCCTCCCGAGTAGCTGGGATTACAGACATGAGCCACCACACCCAGCTAAGTTTTGTATTTTTAGTAGAGACAGGGCTTCACCACATTGGCCAGGATGGTCTCGATCTCTCCTGACTTTGTGATCTGCCCACCTCAGCCTCCGACAGTGCTGGGATTAGAGGCGTGAGCCACTGCGCCCGGCCAACATGATGTTTTGATATATGAATATATTGTGGGATGGCCAAAGCAAGCTGTTTAATACATTATTACCTCACATTTGTATGATTTTTGTGTGGTGAAAACACTTAAAATCTACTCTCGTAGCAATTTTCATGTGTTTCACATATTGTCATTAACTGTAGTCAACATGACGTCCAGTGGATTCCCTTCAATTTATTCCTCCTGTCTCAGCCAAGAGCTTATGACACTGGGTGACAAGTGCTATTGCTTGCCTTCAACTTTTGCAACTGCCTATTCCGTGTTTCTAAGAGTGTGTCTTGCCCTAGTATTCAAAGCCCATCTCCAGGGGTTGACCATTCATTTTGTGCCAAACACTTGCACATACTTTAAATAAGTTGTCCATTTTAATCCTTACAACTGACATGCAGAAGGATGCTGTTACCTTCTTTAACAGATGGGAAAATCGAAGTGCAAAACATTTGGTTCCCAAGGTCACCCAACTGGTAAAAGGCAGAGCCTCAGTCTGAGCACCACTTGGGAAATTTTTTTTTTTTTGAGACGGAGTTTCGCTCGTTACCCAGGCTGGAGTGCAATGGCGCCATCTCGGCTCACCGCAACCTCCGCCTCCTGGGTTCAGGAAATTCTCCTGCCTCAGCTTCCCGATTAGCTGGGATTACAGGCACGCGCCACCGTGCCCAGCTAATTTTTGTATTTTTATTTTTATTAGCGACGGGATTTCACCATGTTGACCAGGATGGTCTCAATCTGTTGATCTCGTGATCCACCCGCCTCTGGGGAATTTTTAAGAGATGTGCTTGCATCCTTTACCAGGTATGGGAAGCATCCAAGCCTGTACCTGTGCCTCCCTTCTTTATCCTGGAACTTCTAACAGGAGTGAGGAAGAACCCAGAACCCAGACACTGTGACTCCATGAGCTCACTCTAATGCAATGCTTCTTACCTCCCCACCCCGTCCGCCTTATGATAATCATTTCTCTGGGAACCCTGGAGTCATATGTATATGTGACATATGTAGGGAGATACAGTGATAAACACTGTCTACTGTAACCACCCAGTTTCCCTGAATGGGGCCTAATGATGTTTCCAATAGCAGAGCAGAGAGTGGTAGCTGCTGTCTCTTGCGTAAACAGCAGTGCCCCTTGCCTTGTCTTCCCACCAGCTCAAGTTGAGTGTGATTCTGAGCCTAGGTTAAGTCAAAGTCATAACTTTGCTGAGTGTGATGGGTTTCCAAGAGAGCCGTTTGCCCCCTCAACTGTTTTTCTTATGTTACCCGCATAACCCGCCCATCCCACCGCCTCCTCTCTGCCAACCAGAATGTTCCAGAACACTGCCCCCCCACCCCCACACCCAGCATGGTCGGAATGCTTGCTCGGGACCATCCCAGATGCCAGGGATCTAAGTCAAAAGTCACAAGTGGCTTTGGAAATCCAAGGAAGCCAATCCTCGTAAAATGATGGGGAGGTGGGGCAAGGGGAGGGTAAAGGCACTGTCATCTCCAAGTCCTGCCATGCCACCTCTAGCGGTGAGTAAAACCTGAAGTTTGAGGAAGGGTAGGTGGATCCTATGGTGAGTAGGGACTAATTAGGACACCCCAATCCTGGGCCACCTCATAGCCTCAGGCACGGATGAGAGATGTATAAAGGTAGACAGGCTCAGAGCATCCCAAACCCCTCCGCACCTATCTGCGCCAGTCACTGGTGAACCTCGGTAAGTCTGGAAAGGTGGTACTTCTCATAGTAGCCTCTCCTTGCCTGCATCCCTCGCCAACTACAGACTGAGCTGATTCTCTGGGTGGTGGTCAGAAGGGACAGCCTGTTTGGGGCACCTCTTTTTTCCATATCATTTGTAACAAACCTATCTTGGGTCCAGCAAATTATCCAGCAGAGAAGTGTGGGAGGCTGGGCTGAGCAGGGGGAAGGGGGGATGTCTACAAGACGGTCGGGATCTCAAGGATGCTGCTGGCATGGCGTGGGTGTTGTATCTTGTCAGGTGCTAAGAGGGAATCAGTAGGAGAGGGGAGTCAGCTCTGGGCAGAGCAACTGGCTGGCTGTCTTTTCAGAGAAAAGAGAATGCAGGGAGGAAAGAGAGCAGGCTCCCTCAGGACAGCAGAGGTATGGAGCAGGTTTGCCCATGGAGCAAAGGGCAGCAGGGACAAGACAGTGTGGCACCATGGGAGGCTCTGCTCTGGGAATCAGGAGACCTCTCTTCCCACCATCTGTGCCCAGTGGCTGTGGAGCCATTCCTTCCCTCTCTGAGGTTTGCTTTCCTCAACTGTAATTGAGAGAGGCAAGCTAAATGGTCCATTTCATCTATCTCTAGAGTTTTCTCTTTATACACTGCCTTAGAGAGGGGTTAAGATGCTGTTTTTAAGATTTTTTGTGAATTTGTTTAACGAATGACAACTCTTAAATAGTGCTCATTATTGTGCTGGAACTCCGCACGTTTGTGTTGGTACATATATACCTGCACATACATTTATGTATCCATGAATATTTTTAAGTATGTATTTTTATACGCTCATTTAACTTTTGCACCAACCCTAAGCGAGGTAGATACGGAAAACCTACCTAAGTTGCTCAAATCACATAGTTAAAAAATGATTTTGCCAGAACTCAAATCCCAAGCCCTTTATTCCAGATGCTACGGGTTTTGCTACAACAGGATACAACAATTTGCTCTTTCTTTTCCTCTCTCTCTCCCTTTTCTTCTCATTTTTAATGTTTTTCTTTCTTTTCTTCCCCTCCTACCATTTCTGTCTTCCATCCCTCCCTCCTTCCCTGTCTTTCCTTCTTTCCATGTTTCTTTGTCTTGAAAAGAGTTGAAATAGCTTGTAAACACTTAAAATTTACACACACACACGCACACACACACTCCTCTTAAATCTGTGAAGGGATTTAAGGGATCTGCAAGGTAGAAGCAGAGCAGACATGAATGTGGCAGGGGGTTCACCTCGGCTTAGGGTCTCTCTATGGCTCAAGTGTTCTTCATTTCTGTGTCTTTCTCATTCCAGTTGCAAGTCCAGCCCAGAATGTCTCAGCAGAAGCAGAAGCAGTGTGCTCCCCCGCAGCAGTGCTGCCCCCCACCCCAGCAGTGCTGCCCCCCTCCTCAGCAGTGCTGCCCCCCACCCCAGCAGTGCTGCCCCCCTCCTCAGCAGTGCTGTCCCCCACCCCAGCAGTGCTGCCCCCCACCCCAGCAGTGCTGCCCCCCACCCCAGCAGTGCTGCCCCCCTCCTCAGCAGCACTGTCCCCCACCCCAGCAGTGCTGCCCCCCACCCCAGCAGACCAAGCAGCCTTGCCAGCCTCCACCCAAGTGCCAGGAGCCCTGCGCCCCCAAGTGCCCACCCCCTCAGCAGTGCCAGAAGTCCAAGCAGAAGTAAGCACTGGGAATGTAATCAGAGGCAAGCACCCAGGAAAAACAGATCATGAAGTTCCTTCCGGGCCAGCATCTTACCCCCCACCCCTCATCAGCCAAGCAAAGCCCCTGCTCACCAGTGCTGGATGCAGCCTCACTTCACGCTTAGGGGAGAGGCAGGACCAGGCTGGCGGCTTCCTCGAGCTCTACTCTTCTTAATTAGCAGCTGCAGTTTCCACATCAGACAAGGATCTGGTTCTAAACTATGTAATCGTTTTTGCTGATATGTATCTACATTGCCTGCTGGAAATGTGGGCGGCATGCCCAGACATTCTCTCCTATCGCGCTTCCCCTCAGCTCCTGTTTTCAAACAATTAAAATAGAATTCCCCTGGCATAAATGTCTTAGTCTGATGATTTCGTCATTTGAAAATGTAGCATTTCTGCAGATTGTTTATCCTGCTTCCAACCTAAAGCCCAAGAAGAGCCAGGTGTGGGATGCAGGTGGAGAAGAAGGCACGGGGCGGAGCCTTCTGAGATGCCCAGACATTTACGAGGCTCCTTCCAGGAAGAGGTGAGGACTTCTGCAACTCAGATGCACACCATGTTCATAGAAAATGAGGGTGCAACACAGAACCAGGGGAGACAGTGCCCACCCAGAGAACATGCACAAGGCAAATGCGTTCTCCTAGGCCCAGACAGAGCAAGGGAGCCTACCAAAAAGACCCTCACAATAGAGGAAAAGGATTGAGGCAGGTAAGTTCTAACTCAGAGAGCACATTCCACGGGCGGATAGGTCAAAAAGGAGTTGAGATAGGGCCGTACATATCCTCCCATAGGTAAAAGAAAAAGGCGAAGTTCCTTCAAGCTAACCAAATGTGTAAGCAGGACACAGCCTGTGCAAATACTGCATCCCCAACACACACACCCAATGGTAAATATTTGATCCAAATATCAGCTCCCGTTATTTCTGTTTGGGGATTCTCTTAAGCTGCTTCCCCCACTGCCCTCCTACTTTGAATTCTTTAAATTCCTGAAGGATTGAAGTGACCAGATAATGCGGACCCACCGGGAATCCAGGCTTCTGGTTTCTACTCTTTCAACTATCCAGTCCCAAGCCTCTCCACCAGACCCCTTTCATGGTCCACAGATGGATGTATTGGAATGTCCTCCTACACCTGCCTCCCCTTTTATGCCTCTGGGTTCCAGGGAGCCACTGATAACTGGGAGAAGTACTCAAAGGAAGCCAGAGAAGACAATAGTATAAAGTTAAAATTTAGATTATCCCAAATTTACAGACTGGAGAATGCAAAGTTAGAAAACAAAACTTTTAGCGTTGCTTCCCAGATGGGTATGCTCTTCTTCCTCGATCATATCTCTTTCCACACCTTTCAGGTCTCATCTATTCATCCATCCGTCCATCCATCCATGTATCCATCATGCACCATGCATCAAAGCACCCCCTATTAAGCAGCCTGTCTTGTTTGATTATAATGTGATGGATGCTGTGAAGATACAGACACACAGCACAGGGCTCTGGGTCTCTTGGTTTAACAATCCCCTTAAGAAGACCAAGCCTGCTGGGCGTGGTGGCTCACGCCTGTAATCCCAGCACTTTGGGAGGCCAAGGCGGGTGGATCACGAGGTCAAGAGATCGAGACCATCTTGGTCAATATGGTGAAACCCTGTCTCTACTAAAAATACAAAAAATTAGCTGGGCATGGTGGCGCGTGCCTGTAATCCCAGCTACTCAGGAGGCTGAGGCAGGAGAATTGCCTGAACCCAGGAGGCGGAGGTTGTGGTGAGCCGAGATGGTGCCTTTGCACTCCAGCCTGGGTAACAAGAGCGAAACTCCATATCAAAAAAAAAAGAAGAAGACCAAGCCAAGACACCCAAGATAGTAAAGAACAATTAGAAAAGGGAGCATCTAATGAAGGGATGATGGATGGTGCAACACCTCACTTGTGCCCTCAGAATTCAGAAGAGACAGAGCGAGAACGATGAGAGCTGTTGAGGGGAGGAAGGAGAACCTGGTCATCTCAGTAGTCATAGCATCTATGGAACTCCAGGAACTTGCCTGTTCAGTGATGAATACCTGGAGAAGGTGCAGTTTTGAGTGGAAGAACAGTAGGATTTGGTTAGGCAGGACAGAGAGCATCCCAGAACTGGATACGGTAGGAGCTAATGCTGCGGGACCCAGGTGTGCCCAGAAGCGCCAGCCCTCCGGTAGGTATCTAAGCCCCAGGACCGAGCGGTCGGAAAGCATGGCTGCTCATACCTGCTGTAAACCACAGACATTTGGAGGATGGCTCCAGTTTTGTGTCCTATTTCTCCTTCCCAAGCTGTTGCATCTAACAGAAGCTCGTCTTAGATACAGAGAAGTGAAACGTTAAGTAGATCTTAACTGAACTCCCAGAAAATGATGTAAAGTTTTTAACACTTCCCCACATGCAGATATATCCTTGAGCAGTCTCCAAAATGTCTCTTCTCTCTAGCCCCATATGTTATCTTTACCAAATTTCTCTCATGTAGGCTCTGACCCTACTTGATTGAGCAACTTAACACGAGGTTCACTTTTTCCTCTCTAGGCTTCATTTGATTTCCACCTCTACTAATGATCACAATCTCCAGGTGTGCACGGGCGCATGCATGCACCTGTGTGTGCCCACATGCCACAAGAGTGGGCAAGCCATAAGCTAGAAACGACCTCGGGTGAGAAAAGGGCTACAAGTATATGACCTTGCTGATTCCTCTTTGAATCCCATCACACTGGGTTTGGATTCCACAGCCACCCTTCTTTTGCGTGTGACCTGGAACCAATTACATAACTTTTCTATGTCTCATTTATCTCATCTGGATACTGGGAAAACAACTGCCTCTTGGGGTTGACGGGGGCGGGGAGTGTTCAGTGAGACAATGGAAGTGAGGAAGTAAACATGGCTTGACCGTAGCAGACGCTGGATAGATTTTAGCTATCGCTTTTACTACCGTTCTCCAGATCTGATCAAGCAGCAAGCCTGCAGACGGCACCCTCCCCTCATCCTCACCAACCTCAGGACACGGGGTCCATGTCCGCAGTGGGCAGCAAGCCTGCAGACGGCACCCTCCCCTTATCCTCACCAACCTCAGGACACGGGGTCCATGTCCGCAGTGGGCAGCAAGCCTGCAGACGGCACCCTCCCCATATCCTCACCAACCTCAGGACACGGGGTCCATGTCCGCAGTGGGCAGCAAGCCTGCAGACGGCACCCTCCCCTTATCCTCACCAACCTCAGGACACGGGGTCCATGTCCGCAGTGGGCAGCAAGCCTGAAGACGGCACCCTCCCCTCATCCTCACCAACCTCAGGACACGGGGTCCATGTCCGCAGTGGGCAGCAAGCCTGAAGACGGCACCCTCCCCATATCCTCACCAACCTCAGGACATGGGGTCCATGTCCCTAGTGGCACAAATGTGTGAGGGAGCAGAGCACACATTGAGGGAAGGGGCAAGGATCAGTTCAAGGGTCTGAGCAAGTGTTCATGGGGAAATAAGATTTAGTCTAGAGTATAAGTATCCCTTTTGGTGGTTGCCCTTCTCTTTCAGAATCTTCCACTTTGTGGAATGAATCCTGACCTCCAGGCAGTCCTGGGTGGCTCTGGTTCATGGTGACTTTTACTTTTTGCTTTGTAAAGTGAGCTGTGCCTTTTTGAGGCAGGCTACGTTCCCTGGAGCCTTCTGAGATGCCCAGACATTTACAAGGTTCCTACCAGGGTAAGATGTGGGGGACTTCTGCAGCACAGATACACACCCCATTCAAAGAAACATAAGGGTGCAATGCAGAACCAGGAGGAGATGGTGCCCACCAGGAGGACACATGCAAAGAAAGGGCATGCTGAGGCTGACAAGCGGAGGAAGCACCTGCAGGAGCAGGGACTTGACCGACACAGCAGCCCGTTGCATTGTGGCACCATCCTATTGAGGCAGGTGTCATTATTCCCAGGACAGATAGAAGACTAAGGATCAGCAAGGTCCCTTCCTTGTTCATAGTGGTAATGGCCTGCAGGTGGTAGGCCTGAGGTTCAAACTCAGTGTGTGCTGTCTCTCTGGTCTGTATTCTTTACAACACAGCAAGTGGTCTTACACTGTAAGTGGCTGGGAGAAACATGCCTGGACCCTGTCCTCTGAGGCTTTACCATCCACCATCTCATAGAAAGGCAGAGCTGGGCACGTTCACAGTCACACACTCACACTTGTATGTACACGAATATACACTCATGCATGTTCATATATCATTTGGTGTAGACATGAAAATAACGTCTACGCCTTCCAGACTGACCTTCAGCGTTGAGAATGGAAGCTGGGGTCAAGTCCTAGAGGCCCCTTGCTGCAATGCCATGGCATGGGGGGCTGAGCAAGCAGTCAGGGTGGTGCCAGGGCATGGCAGGCAGGGAACTTGGTGTGGCAGCCGTTGGCCGCCTATTACAAAAGTGTTTTTAATATTTTAAAAACCATGGGTTCAGCAACACGTCTGCAGACCGGTGTGTATCTTCTGAATAGCAGCCCTGCCACACTCACTCTTACACATGCACATGTTTGCCCACTCACACTCATATTCGCACACTTATGCACTCATATACCGTCACGTGAGGGCTCACCACACACTGACACACACATGCTGTCGACTGCACTCAAATATGACTACACCCGCTAACACATACTCACAGACACCCAGATGCACACACATACTCCCACTGTCATTCCCATTGTTAAGCATGGCCCCAGAACAACGAGGCCAGCTCTGCTCCCATGACCTAGTGACGTGTCCTTTCCCCTTTCTCCAGGCCTCTGCCACATTCCAGCAAGGCTGTCTGACCATCTGGCTTGAGTGAAATTTCCACAGAACAGAGGTCTCAGGATGAAAGGTGTGATGCTGAGGGCTTGGAAGGGGGTGTGCTTTCATCAAAGAAGTGTGTGTATACATATTCTCTTTATCCTATTCCAAACAAAGAAATTCCATGGAAGACGGCATGGTATGCTGCAGGAAAGAGAGCCCCTACCCATCTTGGAGTCTGATTGCCCGGGGCTCAAATCTCCTCCTCCTTACTTTTATATTAATCTTGGATAACTTAACCTTTCTAAGCTACAAGATGAGAGTAACTCAAACTTCAAATCCTAAATTTGAAGCTCAGAGTTTCTGACAAGCAGTGGTGTTCTACCCTTTCCTCATGCCCTCCTCTACAAGCCCCAGAGAAAGGGAACCCCACTGCTAGGTGCACACCCTGCTGTGTATGCCCAAGGCACAGGGAGCAGGGGGACCCCAGCTGGTGACAGATTTCTGCAAAGGAGCGTCAGCACTCGGCAGTCAGTCATCCTCTGGAGGAAGCCCTGCCTGTGGGTGCAGCCAGCTTCAGTGTGCTCC